TCATTACACTCTTCTCTCATAAAAAAAGTCAAAAAAGTCAAAAAGTCATTTCCAAACCAAGCTTTTGAGCCCAAGCTCAAATAGCCAAAAAAATAAAAAAGCTAAAAAGCCAACCCACTTCCCAAACGGAGGCAAAAATGCCCCAAGACTCCTTCACATTTTACGAAAAGATCATAAACACCGCCCTTAAATAAATATACGTAATAATATTAATTAAATTATTTATATGTATTTCTATATATAAATAAAATTATTGTAAGGTACATTGTCACGTTTATAATGCAAAAGAATAATTTTAGTTATATCATACTATAAAAGTGTAATTTAAATTAATATTAATATGAGTGATAATTTAAATTAATTTATTTATATGTATGCATGTATATGTATAAACATATAAAATTAAGTTATATGGCCAAGTTTGGTTTGGTTTTCATAAACGTGTCTTAGAAGGAAAAAAAATTAAAAATTAGTTTGGTGAAAGAAATTAAAAAAATTAAGAACACTTATTATTTTTATATAATTTTATCTTTTGAAAAGTCAAAAATATTTTGTAAAATTAATTTTTTTTTTAAATTATTTTTAAATTTTTTTTTCTAAAATACAAACTAAACATGGATAAATTTTTCTTCTTTTTTTTTCCCGTAGATTACTCTAAAATAATGAAAAGAAAATTACATTATTTCAAGGAAAAGGGGTCACTGCTGTGCTCAAAGCACAGTAGTGACTGTGGTGCCTTCGTTTAAGGTGTATTATGATATTATTTTTATGATCCAAACCATTTCTTTTGTAGGGTTTATTGAGTACTTCATGCCTACCAAAAATCATATTAATCGGATATCAACAACTATATGATCAATAAACAAAAAAATAAATAATAAGTTTTTCTTTTGAGAAATAGCATAAACAATATGCAATTCGATCATATAGTTATTGATATCCGATTAATATAATTTTTGGTAAGTATGAAGTACTCAACAAACCTTACAAAATAAATAGTTTGAATAATAAAAATAAAATCATAATACACCTCAAACGAAAGCACCAAAAACACAACAGAGACCCCTTTTCCTATTTCTTCACGTGAGAAATGCATTTCTAATTAATTAGGTAGATATGGTATAGACCACTTTCGTCATTTTACTTTTTATATATAAAAGACTCACTACCTCACCTCCCCATCCTCAATTAAATTTCTTTAAAGTTTTCATTAATTTCCCTCTTAAGAAACATACAATTGTACACATCTTATTCTTTTCAAACTCTGCAGTAGCAAACATTTCATCTTTTAAAAAAATTATTCTCAACTCCCTTGTCCTCCTTCCAACAAACCAAAGAACTACCACACACGATACATAAAATTGCATGTATCTGAGGGTACTGTTGGACCTGTGGACAGTGGCAGAGGGAGCATGAGCCCTCATGCCCCTCCTCAACTTTCCAAAATTTATATTTAGTTATACGTTAATAAATTATTTCTCACTTTGCCCCCTTTTAAATTTGAATATATACTCATATTTTTTTCTTTATTTTTGAAATAGTTCTATAATTTGTACAATTCAAATGTTTATTTTATGGCAAAATCACTTTTATAATATTATAAAGTCTACCATTAAATGTTTATTTTCTATTCTTTTTTATAATGTTTGTTAATTTATTCTTATTGGGAATTTTTTTGTTTTCTTCTTCTAGGATGAATATATGTACAAAAATGTAAAAGATTTTACTTGTTTGATGAAATTTCTATTTCTTAATAAAATATTTGTTTTATTTTTTGGAAACGATCATCACCGTCTAAGTCAATGTCTTGGTTAAAATTGGGGATTAAGTTTGTTAGGCTTAAAGTAAGGTAGGATGAGGACACTATTGTAGACATAACATTTTATTATTGCCTCATCTGAATTAAAATCCTATCTCCGCCACTGTCTATGGGAGCCCATCAAAAGTCCCGTTTCAATAATTTGAACCATTTAATCTATACAACTCGCTGAGTACTATATACTTGTAAAAAATCACGTTGGTCGGATATCGATAGTTACGTAATCAAATCAGTTTTTTCTTTAAAAAAATGAATAGTGAAAAAATAAATTGTTGACATAAATCTGATCCAATGAGATAGCTATCGATATCTAATCAACGTTGTTTTTTTACTAACATATAATACTTGACGAGTTCTACACATTCAACGATTCGGATTATCGGAATGAGACATGTGGTGGGCCCCTACGGACCCAACAGTATCCTCCACTCCAATCATGGACTGGAAGGAAGCTCAGCCCTATATATATATATATATAAGTTTACAAAGCCTGTGCTATTATTAGAGTATATTTAAGTTTTGTATTTTGATAATTTTTTAAAAATTAAAACATTATTCTATGGAATTGAATAGAATAAATCATTAGATATATAATAGAATCATGTGGTATGATTTGTATCATTTTTTGATTTATTATACATCAAATGATATGGATTCTAATTCTATTACTATACCATTTGAGGAGAATTTACAAGTCTTTAACATTTATAAATAAATAAAAAATTATGGTATGTAATTTTTCTCAATAAATAAATATAAAACAAATACTAAGATAATTCTCTCATCTAAAAAAAATTACTAATTTTTTAATTAACTCAGAATTAATTACACGTTGAGTAAAAACGGCTTTTGAAAAGTCGATTTTGTGTAGGGGAATTTTATTATTTTTTTATTCACAAAAAACAGCATTGGTAAAGCCGTTTTTCTAGAAACCGGCATTGCTAAAGCCATTTTACCCTATAATGAGAATAAAGACAAAAACCCACCCTAGAGTGGGAATAAAGTTGTGAGAATGGCATAGTCAGGGAAATATGCTGGGGTGATCTGGAAATGGGGGTTGGAAATAAACGGAAGTCATGGTAGAATATATATATATGTGGATATTTTGGTCATTTTGTGTAAGCATGCCCTTATGGCTTCAGTATTTTAGCGGGAAATTCTATTTGCACACACCTAATTATCTCAGTGCACACACTTAATAAAATATTATTTTAGTTGCAATTATACCCTAAATTAAAATGACCATAATGGATATTCACTAGCACCCATAATATTATATAAAAATATTCTCTATACACATCTTTTAAAAATAAAAAAATCTCAATGTACACCTTTTAGGTTAAAAAAAAAAAAAAATTAAACTCTAATTTTTTCATTATTGTCACTTTGCTTGCTATTCACGCTATACTCATCTATTACTTACAAAGTAATACTCTCATAACAACTCTTATATTGCTTTAATCTCCAGATTTATACTATATTAATGATGAAAATGTTAGTTTTTTTGTTTAGAACCTTTTTTTTTCTTCTTTTCGCGGTTTTCAGTCGGATAACCAATGCTGAATTATTTCATTATATTCGCATATCAACTGCCGAAAGTTTTTTTTTTTTTTTTTGGAATAAATTTGTCGAACTAATCATTTTTATTTGAAAGTTAAGTTTTGAATTAAATGTAACCAATGCCGAAATCCCCAAAGCAAAAAACATTAAAAAAAATTAAAAAAAATAAGGGTTTTATGACAATGGAGTGCATAAAGATCTGCAAACGGTAAATATAATAACAAAATGAAGATGTCTCATCTTTAACAATATTTTGGAGGGTTTTTAATGGAGGTTCAATGTCTTCAATGGAGGACTTTGTTTTCACTTCACTTCGCTTTACATTGTGGTTTTGAATGGGTTTCATGTGAGTCTACAATAGATTTACAAATTTGAAAGTAGGGTCACTCAACAAGTGTGTGGAAAAGAGAGTTAAGTGATGTTTGTACAATGATTACGAGTGAAGGGTATAATTGTAACTTTCAGTGTATGGGTTGAGAAAATTAATTAATAATCAAATTAATAAATGTGTGTATTGAGATGCGCATTGGGATAATTAAGTGTGTGGAAATAGAATTTTCCATAATTGACAAAGAATATTGGGTGATTCTACTTACACTACTATTTAACCTCTTTACACCCTCCATCTCATTACACCACTAAAAAAAATACAATTCTCATTACACCCCTAATATATTACCAAAACTAACCTTAAATTAACTATTTCATCTCTCTTTACACGACTAATTTTGGTAACACGGTACTAAACAATTTACATTATTTCGGTGTTATGCTATCGAAAAAAATAAATCTCTCCAGTATTTTGTTGCTATACATTTACAAAGACACTTTCTTCCAAACAATGATTTTTTAATTTGTGGTGAGCCTATTCGGTAATACAACTCAAATTAATTTGAATTACTCTAGTGCCCTACTACCGGACAATATGTTTTTTCCCAGCATTATGTTGTCGTCCAATTAGATGATAACAAAAAATTAATTTGGGCCACTTATGAAGTGCATGTTCAGTGATACATTGTTATATAAATAGGATTATTCTACTGTCATGTTGCTAAACTACAATAGAGTTATCTAGGCCCTCGTCGCTGAACATTGAAAGATTTAGGTAATGTTTGGTAGAGTTTTGTAAATGTGATTTGAGAGTATGAGTTATATTTTGAGTTTGTGTGTTGTGGAATTATGATTTGAGTGTAGAGTTTTGATTTGAGTGGGGAATTATTGATGTGACATTTGATATGTGATACAAAATTTACAACTCATAACTAAACATACAACTCAAAATTATTTTAAAGCACATAAAAAATTTTAAAAATTTCAGAAAATGTTTTTTTCGATTATATAAATCAATTGCAAAAAAAAAAATATTACTATTCCGGTCAACCGGCCGGACGACCGGCCAGACGTGTCCCGTAAGGCAAAATTTTGAAAAAAAAAAATCTGAAAAGCGCGACTGTGCAGAGAACTCTGCAGAGTTTTGGAAACGTGTTTTGAAAACACGTTCCAAACACCATTCTGAAATCACTATGTAGAATCATATTTCAAAAACACAAACAAACAGAGCCTTACTTTTTCCTTGAAATATCCATAAAAAAATTCATAAATCAAACACGCATCCATAAAATTATACATAAAAAGTAACCATAAAATTATTCGTAAAAACATCGAATATCCATAAAGTATCCATAAAATCTGTTACTGTTTACATCCATCAATCAAACATGTTATCACAATCCGTCTTGGTAATTTGTAAGTAATTTTTTTTCCCTTAATAGAAATAGGCACCCACACTTTTTAGAACCTGTCAACCTCAATCGTTCCCTCTTGATCTTCTTGTTGTCTCTATAATAACCACTTCTTTTACAGGCAAGTGTAAGTCTTAGTTTTCTGTCATTGCCTCCCGCATCTGATGTCTTTATAACAATGACAAATCCAGTTTTCTGCCCAACGTCAAAAGCCCATTTAATTAATGTTTCACAACTACAAAAAATCTAAAGATAATAAATACATTTATACGTCAAATTATTAATAAAACTCAATACAAATTAAAAATAAGAATAAATTGTATTCATAAAAATTTAAAAAAAAAAATACTTAACAAACATTGTCTGTAATGAATTCATGACTAGAGTTCACTAATATTGCAATACTTGCGTTGTTGCAATGAGTATAAGTATAATCCTTCCACGCAAAAAAATAAAAAATATAAAAAAATGAAACTAAAAATACACATGGTAATGAAAAGCCGAACAAATTAAAAAAATTCAGTTTGGATTTACCGAAAATGTATCTTTTATTCGGTAATTGGTTACCAGACTTATATTTTTTGTTCGGCAATGTGATGCTGAACTATTTTATTTTGTTCGATTTCGAACCACCGAACGAAATTCGAACACCAGTCTAGAAAAACGAAACAAAAACCTATCAAATAAATAAATAAACTCACTATTTCACTTTTTTTATGGTTCTTTACCACCGTTTCTTCATCCATTACTTTCTTTAATAATCAAAATACTATGATTCTCACTTTTTGAAAAGAGATATGTAAGAGAAAAAAAAAATTTAAAAAGGAAAAAGAGGAGTAGGGATTGAAAACCAAGGAGTGTAAGGAGATAACAAAATATATTTAATTTTAGTGTTTTGTCCTTAAAGGAAATTTCACACATGAAAAAAAAAAACTCGTATGAAGGGTGTAAAGAGATGATATAGTGGTGTAAGTAAAATATAATTACGAAAAAACTTATTTCATAATTAACCAAGAATGTTTGCGTAATTACGAAAAAATATGTTGCATAATTAACCAAGAATATTTGCATAATTACAATAAAACCTTCCATCAATATATAGGCAAATATTAGTAAATTCTTCAAAATCAAAAGACAAAAATAAAATAAAAAAAAGAGGAACCTCAAATAATTAAACTATTCTTATATATATAATATAAATATATATACTTCAATCCAACCACATATGGTGAATTGCATCAACATCTATATCCTCTCTCCATTTCATGAATAAAAAAATGAATATTTATGATCAATAAAAAAAAAAATTTCACATCAATAAATATTTATTTTGAAATCAAAAGTAATTAAGTGAAAATTTAAAACTTATTTGTTACTAATTTTTGATGATATTAATGTTTTGAAAATCAAACCAGTAAACGAACTGGAAAAGTGATCAAGTAAATGGGTCACTGATTCAACCGTTAGTGAATCAGAATCAAACTATAATGTTATATTTATGTCATAAATAATTTTATAATATATTTGTAAAAAAAATTAAGTTCAAGGAAACAAAAAAAGAAAGAAAGTATATATATAAAATAAACAAACTAAAACAAATTTATAATACAATTGTTTAAGTATTGAAAGCAACAAATGCATGAATAGCTTGATGATTAGTATTTACAATGTATTTTACAATACATTGTGAAAGGCTGGAGGTTGAATCTTTCTACCATCAATAATGTTTTGGAATATCGCTGTCAATCTAACGGTTCAGTTCAATGGACGGGCTTGATCCAAATCAAGTTTTGGATACAAATGGTTATGTGAGGGTAATCCGTACCAGAAACTGGGCCGATCAATGAGTCAATCAATCCAGTTTTCAAAAGCATAATTGATAGGATACAGATTTATCAAATGAAATAAAAAAAACCCCATTCCATTATAAAATAAAGATATTCAAAATCCTCATAGACTACTGATTTTTTATGATAATTATGGGTGACCAAAAATATATATAGAAACATATTGTTCATCCCAAAGTGATCATCATTAATAAACTTTGTTTAAAAATATATTTAAATTTAATTTATTTATTTTTTAAAATTAATTTCAAATAAACTTCAATCAAATCGAACACCAACTAATTTCTTAATCTATCTAGTGCATATACGTTTATGATCCCAGTTCAAGCTAAACTTAAAACATTGTTTGAGATGACCTAAATAAGTGCACTTTTTATCTTTTTACGAAAAAATGTACAGAAAAATAGAAAAATGATGTGATGAAAAAAAGATAAAAAAACAAAAAGATGAATTATTTTTAAATTGCCAAACATGGCCTTAAACTCTGTTAGAATCTAAGATTTAGATAGAAATTTGTTGAGAGAAATAAATTTAAAAAACCAAACTTTTCTTTCATTTCCTTCACCTCTTGTTTTCCTTTTCCATGATCTGAACACAACCTAACAAATTTCAAAATGTGTTCTAATTTTACTTGTTTATATTACGAGCCAAATTTTAGCAATGTCATTCAGTTTACAACCCCCACTTGGAGAGGTGTACATATTTAAGGATCTGCACAGGCATTTTGGGGTTCAAATTCCTCCAAACAGGGAAGGAACATCTTAAAAATCCAAGCCATTTTGGAACCTAGAAGGATTTAGGCCCAGCACCATACATTCGAACTAAAATGAACCCTCAACATTATAACTTGTAATTTTGAATTTTAGGATAACATAGCAATGTACACAATTTTTCTTCAAAGTTGAAGAAACCTTTTTTTTTTTTTTTCCTGAACTGTGCCTCGAATGATGAATGGTGTCTGAAAAAATATACTTGCAAAGTGTAGATTCACAACAATCAAACATCATCTTTAACAAATATCTTTCCACAAAAGCTCATCACAAAGTATTAACTTCAAGTTAATATAGGAAGTCCCGATGTTCCATTTCAATCATTCAAAAGTAAAAGGAAAGACGGATGTTCTTCCGTACTAGCTAGTAGCTTCATTGTAGTAGTTCATTTAGCATTTAGTCCAGAATGCTAGTCAGTACATAGATGTGAATTCTTTCAAATCCAGTAGATCTAAGGTGAGAATATTTACCTCAAAACATCAAAACATGTAGTACTGAGCTATTTACTGTTCTCTTTGCTCATGTTTTGGCTCGATTTTAACCAAAAAGCTCTTAGCCTCATCATCAGTAACGTCACTGCTCAGGGAAAGAAATGCAAACAGAAAATAATAAAATGCAGGAATTGATGGGCTAACATGACGAATAGTGTTCTCTATATGGAACCCAGAAGTTGAAAAACCCTTTTGTTTAGTTTAGTTTTCGAAAATTGTTAGTTTTTTCTTTTTCGTGTTTTCACATCTTTAGTGAATTTTTTAAATATTTTAGATTTTTTTTTACTTTCTAGTAGGGGTGAGCAGCGGATATACCTATCCGCCAAAAACGACCGAACCGAACCGATCCGCCGCATTTTGGACAGATGCGTGATGACGAGTGGACGGTTGCGGATTGATTTTCTCCAATCCGCCAATCTGGCGGACGGATGGCGGATTTGAGATTCCTTTAGCCGCAACCGAACCGCCAAACCGCGAGCACCCCTAGTAATTTATAAGACTTTGTGTTTTCAGTTTGTTTAAATATTCTGTTTGTGTTTTCAATTAAAAAAGAGTTTAAATATTATGTTGAAAAAAAGTTTTCAACTTGAATATCTTTTTTGAATTGAAAAAAATAAACGTATTATTTATCTATATTTTTTGGTTTTTAAATCTATCTCTAAAAATAATAAATAGAAAATATGATATATGCTGGTTGGTTTTTGTTTTCAAAAACAAATATAGATATAACAATACAAAGACACACAATCTCTACTACCGCTCGGGTCATGGTTTTTGTGATTTGAATCGTTTTTATATTTTAAGCACCACAGATTGTAATACTTTATGTGGATGAGGCATGCTGTGGTTGTAGTATAAGGATGAGGCATGCAGTGATTGTGATATTCTAAAGTTTCAAACTTTCTTACTTTGGATGAAGCATGCAGTGATTGTAATATTTTTTTAAGTCATTGACTGTAATACTTTCGATAACAAGCTTGATTTGAATTATGTTGAAAATTTATAAAATTTTAAACCGCCAAACCGATTCGCATCCATCCGCCAAATTGCCAATCCGCTCAATCCACATCCGTCGGATTAGCGGACGGATGCGGATTGATTTTCTCCAATCCGCCAATCTGGTGGACGGGTGGCGGATTGGAGGTTCCGTGGCCGCAACCGACCCGCGCCCACCCCTACTTTCTAGATGCACCAAATCCAAAAAAGTTAACTAAAGACATAAAATGTGCTTTTATTTGTTCATATCTTTAGTGAGTTTTTTTTTCAGATTTTTCCACAAATATTTTACTTTGTAGATACGTGTAGATTAGATGCATCTAGTTTTTTTCATTATTTTAAAATGACTAGAATATGAAAAACAAAAACACGGAAAACAAAAATCTCAAAACAGCTTTTGAGTTTGAAACCGAACAAGATGTGGGTAAAGTAACAACAGCAAACCTGTCTGTGGCTTCATTCTTGGAGATCAAAGTGACCCCTTTGGACGCAAGCAATTCACAGAAGGTGTTAAGGTCTTTCTCCTGGCAAAATTTACAAAGATGGCGCAGGAAATCGTTGAACTGTTTGGGTTCCTGCACAGAAAGACACTTTATCAATTAACCAATCATTGATGCTTCCTGCAAATTTCACCATACAAACATTTCTTGAAAGAACGAAAATCAACAATGTAAGGGTCAGTTTTAACATCAAAGTTCGTTGATATTTTTCTTTGGTATTAACTATGTCATTTTGTCTTAGTAGGCTGGCTGGCCTTTATTTTATTTTTTAATTTTGAGTAAATTTTGATTGAAAAAAGTCACAAAGGGGGTCAAAAGTTTGTTACAAAGAAAATAGTTTCTTGGAATAATAAAAATAACAATGGTCCAAATTCCAAACCTAAAACCTGTGGGGGAGAGAGAGAAAGCAAAAGGTGGAAGAAGGCATACTTGCTCAAGGATGCAACCCTTGCGCAGAGAAACTAAACATTCCAGCGCCTTCTGATAGGTATCCCCTACAAAAGAGTTCTCCACTAGGTCAAAAGTTTTATTTTTCATCTCCTTAATTGCTTTATTAACCCATTCTGAGTTATCTCTGCGAGACATCATAGCTTCAAAATCTTGAACAGGAGTCAAGTCCCCAATTTTCTCGACTTTGACTGCAGATGTATTTTCTATGGAATTGAAAGCTTCAATTTCATAAGCTCGTTTTCTTGATTTCTTCAGCTGCAAGATTGATCAATTTTAGATCTCAACAGCGGAAGATATTGACAGCCTTAAACAAACACTCTCTCAATCAATCAATCAATTTGGAATGCTTCAAGTAAGTTACCTTAGGATTTTCCTTCAGTTCAAAGCACCTACAAAATTCATCAATGACAAATTTGCTCTGAGAAAGAACTTCTGGATCAGGTCTTGTTATCCTCTTGAGAGTTTCATCAAGTGGTGGCACTGGGGCATCTGGATTCTTTGATTTCAACTCAAGGTGACGATAAAAACGCTGACAATATGCAGCACATCATATTAGCTTCAGCCAGAAAGGATATGATCAAAAAAAATTATGGAACAACTATTTAGGAAGAGATGTATGCTGAAAAGATCCTGATCAGCCCCTGCTTACAAAGAAAATGGTGAAGGAAGAGATGGCTTCATCAAAAAGTAATCCATTTTTTCGCTTCTTTTTCACAAAACTCCCACAAGAGAATTATGGAACAAATTTTTGAAAAGAAACCCCAGGGGTCCAGACACAGAACCAGTAGTACAACATGGAAACCTTACCTGCAATTGTCCTCATCAATAGCATGTAACTTAGCTAAGGAAAATATCATAATTTTTTGTACCTCTGAATTTATAATCTGAATAGTATTTATCTATGAAGCATGGACACGGACACAGAGACGGGACACGGTGATTTCAAAAAAATTGAGACACGGACATGGCGGGGGACACGGCAATATTTTTTTATATTTACTATGTAGATTAATATTAAGTTACCAAACAATCAAAATTAATAAAAACTAGCATTAATTCAATATATATATATAAACCATTATATTTAAACAAATTAATAAATTATCCATATTTGGATACGCGTGTTCCTGAGTGTCCCCGGAGTGTCCCCAACAAAAAAAGGAAAATAAAATTAAAGGGACATGCCATTTGGCGTGTCCCAGCCGTGTCCCCGGTGTGTCCATGTCGTGTCCCCGGCGTGCCACCTACAAAAAAAAATAATAAAATTAAAGGGACACGCCATTTGGCATGTCCTGTACGTGTCCCCGTCTCCGACACCACTACAGTGCCTGTTTTGAAGTGTCATGCTTCATAGGTATTTATGCATATTCATAAGCAGAATACCTGTCAGATGAGGCAATATGTACAGGACATGGACAATACCCCTGAACCAAATTAAGTTGCAAAACACTGTCACACTATCCCCAAGTCTTACTCATATGCTGTTAAAGGCGATCTCCAGCCCATAAATACCAAATTAGTAAAGATGTTCATTCAGAAACAGGAAATGGCATAAATTGCTCAGGAAAAACCCAAGTCTTACTCATATGCTGTTAAAGGCGATCTCCAGCCCATAAATACCAAATTTGTAAAGATATTCATTCAGAAACAGGAAATGGCATAAATTGCTCAGGAAAAATTTATAGAACAAACACATGCCCAAGCAGGAATTTGTCAAACCCAAGTTGCAAGGAAAATTTTCTCAAGTACCTCCAAAACAGGATTTGGTGTAAATTCGGGCGGCAGTACTTCCTCTTTTCCCTCCGGGGCAAGGTCAAACATTTTTACCAGATTATCTGCTGCCTCCTGTTGTTGTTCATTTGGCTGCCATGAAGAAAAATTGCTGAATGAAGGAAACTGGAACTCTCGAACATCCTCAGCAAAAGGAAGTACATTGAAGTAAAATGAATCGGGCTGCCCAGCAAAATAAACAAGAATGTCAATTCAGAAGTCACGCACACTGACAATTTCAAATAAAGGGTGCGATGAAATTGCAGAGAGAGACTTACAACACTATCTTTTTCAGATACATTAGGAGTCAGTACCCCTATGACTACATTCCCTTGTCCTTGTCTCCATACACAGCGGAGAATCGCTACTTTATTCATTTCCTTCATTGCTCTTACTAAAGCAGAAACTGCAAGAATGGCCTTTGGATTGCCCGGTTCCGCAATGAAGATGGAGACATCTTTCATATAATAGTGTCTTTTGAGCATATTTTATGGACAGTACAGACAAATGAAGTAAAATATTTTTAAATTGTAGATCTATTAACAAACACCAAATTACATGGATACAAGTCAAAGAAGCTGGATTTTACCGCATTATGTTTGAGACATCTGTAAATCCTAGAAGCTTCACGCTCTTCTCTGGTTTGAACTTCACAGCATCCCACTCAGCAGATGAAATAGGAACTACTTGAGGTCCATACTGATAACCCTTAATTCTTTGTTCTGGAGGCACAATTTTACCAGAATCTTCAATACTTTTGTACTCATAATCTACCTTGATTTCATGAGTAGCAAATTTATCTGTTGGAGGTGCTTTATCAGAGTATTTTTTCAGAGTGGGGAACTTCTCTTCGGATGTTTTCTTGTAGACCCATACCTAATAATGATAAAGTTAGCAAACAGACGAATCTCAAAGCTTATTTTTTCATTTTCGTAAATAAATAAACTGTTGCATTAATATCTGCCAAGTTGAAATGGAGGACCATAGAATAGTTAAAACTCAAACACAAGAATATGAAACAAGCATATTTTTGCAGCAAAATATCATTATATTTCATGATATGTCTGTAAGTTGTAGAATGCTCTATCACTCTCACACACATGCTCTCATGCGCATAAATAAAGGGAGGGGGGAAAAAAGCTCTAACAGAATGGAGCATGTGGAATCATCCAGTAAGGTGACACCCCATCGCACCCTTTCTGTCACCCAAATCCAAAGGGGCCATACCTGCAGCAGCAAAGTTCTTCAGCATATAACGAGTTTGAGTCTCTAAAACTGCTATTTTTAGCATGTGTAGCCTCTAGGTCACTTGCTCTAGGCAAAGCAAATACAAGCACCGCGCCTATGCTAGAAACCTGTCCAAGTTATACAGCCATCCACCTAAAGTCCACTTGTCACAGCCCACCAGTACTTGTAAGTAGCCTACATTACAGGGAATGAAGATTGTTTCGGTCTGAAGAATAGGAACGTGACATGTCACATGGTATACAATGTAGTACAATAGAGGTAGGCTTGCATTTATAATAAATAAATAAATAAATAAAAACAACGTCCAATTAGTACGCATTAATGTGTGTTTGGGAGGGGAAAGATTGGGTACATACACGCCTAATCTTTGACATTATTCTACAACCCCAAGGTCATTGGGCCTAGTATTAACCATTGAATCAATAACCCACATATATGTATATATCACGCTACTAGAATTTAAAATACTTTTCACATGTGAGACCAATTTTCTTTTAACAATTAAACATTTAATTAAAAAAATCAACTAATTTTCAAGTTAATAACGTACAAAAATTAAAAAAATTCTATGAGCATTATAGCCAATTTTTTACCTTACATTTTGTCCTACCAAAACTCCACCCTTAAATCTGGATTTTATCCTCCTACGAAAAGAAACGGGGAAATTTTTTGGGATCACTTTAAATACTAAATTTACCGTTTTGGAACAGAAGTTTACTACGTTTCAAAATGTCCATTCCAATACCTAGATCTCTAGGGTGTTAACGTTTTCCGGTAGCACTGCCTTAATTAATTTGAGCAGATTATGATGATGTGCCTAATGCCTATGCAATACCACTACGGCTCCATTCTCGACAAAATAGGATCTTGTAGAACTTTCTTTCACATACAGTTTTCACTGTTCTCTCATCCTCATTCTTAATCAAAATCGATTTTAATCTACTTGCAAAACACGTATCTTCTTCCCTAGCCTGTTCAATTTAGCAGATATTTTACCAAAACAACCTAAAACAATAATTCACATACTGATACTACAAAAGAGTTTTAAGAACTTCATAAATAGGCCTTTGAGCTTATACAATATACAATACATATGAGTTCTCTCTACCCTCCTTGATTGCCTGAAGCTTAAAAATAAATAAAACTGAAAATTTCATACTCCAATTAATTTCTAGGTAATAAAATAAATCCAAATTAACTAATGATTATTGCTAAAGCTTTAATGATGTTCAGAGTTATGAGGCAACGAAATAAGCTACCCCATTAATAAGAAAGTGCACATTTAGCCCTGGAAATGTTGATCCTCAAACTCAGCAACAAATGAGTTTCATGATACAAAAGTTCATAAAAAAAAAATCAAAAATCAAAAACAAGCAATAGCAGGAATTCTTTATCAGAAGATAACAACAGATCATGCCTGGAAGTAGAGGACAATATTGGAATTGTGAAATATGTGTAGAGAAATGGAATAAAGATGAAAGATTCTGCCAGGGCAACCACCATATGCAAATGAAAATATAACAACATATAAACCTCAATATTCAAATATTCAATGATCTACTCCCAACTGACCAAGGATTAGAAATAAGCAACAAAAGGATGTCTTAGCTTCTTCGGAGGTGCAACAGTTGAAAATGAGAAATTGACTATTAAATTAATCTCTCAATAAAACAGTAGATAAAATTAATGAACAATGCTTGCGGCATTATCTAAAATTTCATTATCACGATGAAACACTACATATAATTTTCCAGGCAATAACCTAAGTAGGTATTTTCTACCTAAAAATAAAATAAAATCGAAGTTTCTTTACACTAGCATGTAACACTGGCTTTCCTTACCTTGATCTTCAATTGTGAGCTTATTTCAAGATGACCCCTGTATACTGTGACAGGAGAAATATTCCGAGTTCTAAGTGCCCCTAATAGTGAAGTTGGACTCTCCACATACACTGTTTTTGAAGAGGTTTTCTTCGCAAATATACCCAAAAGAAGATCATTCTCTTCCATCACTCTTTTATTTCCATCCACATTTTGCTTTCCCCTCACAACTATACAATCCATTTTCATGCCATGTGCAGTCATCTGGGTAGCAATGGTGTTGACTTGATCCTCCTTTGTTCCTTCAAATGGATCTTTAATAGGAGAGAGTGCATTTGTAACAAGGCAAAGGCGTTTTTTTCCTTTGTTTGTTGGTCCAAATTTTTTAATTAGCATATCCATCCCCACCACAATGGCATCGAGATCCAATAACTAAGTCAAGGTATCAAGGACTCGAGCATAGGGTGCACATAGTTAAGTAATTCACATCTTAAGGACTACTAAATCGAGTTCACATCATACACTACTTGCCACAATAAAAAATCAAGACATCCTCTCAAAACAAAAACGAAACCTCAAAATGGAAGGTCTAATTGATAAAGCTAACAAAATTAAGCAAATTGCAATCCCATATAGTCATCACATCATTACATATTACGTCCCGTTGCAGATGAGCTCAGTTATATAAGATATAAAAAAAGTCGAACCTGTTAAACAGGTTATCAAATAGTTTTTTTGTTGTGCAATCGTCCAAAATGCCCTTATAAGTTGTGTAAATGATAATTTGATTTGTTTGGTAAAGCTTAGTCGTTCAAACTTCTATATTTCCATATTAGACATATATGTTGAAATTTTAACTAGTATTTTTCTTACCAACACATCAATTCAAAACTACTTTTTTGAACCTATAATTTAAATAAGATGACTTCTAAGTTTCAACGAACATGCTCAACGTATGGTTGAGTTTGTCCAGAAGAAAACAAGCTACGGTTGGAAAGAGGCCACATCAATGCAAACAAGGCAACCAATTTTTAAGAGCCCAAACCATCTCAGATGGCATTTGTATGAAAATTCAGATGCATGTTAATAAAAAAGTGCTGTTCTCTGGATTTTAACATGCAACGAGAAAAATAAATTACTAGGTGAAATAATTAAGCACACACATAGGATACAATCACCAGCAACAGTTCCTCGAGGAAGTTTCTGTAAAGCTTCAACAACATCTCCATCAACAACTTTGATATGCCGCAACACAACCACATGTTCATATCCACCCACTTCGTTTGTCAGCTCGTTGTCAGTATCTGAGTAGTTCATTAAAAATGTTTGCTTGAGAAAATAATTGGCAATGAAATAGGTTCTTTTATTATGTGAATAATTACAAAAAAACCTGATTAACTCTTTTTTTTTATAGAAATTCTTTATTTATTAATTTAAAGACATACCGTCAAAAATCTTAATAAAACTATTTAGGCAATCACTTTATGATTTAGCGTGGCATACAAGAATCAAGAGGCATGCATATATAGAGAGTCTCTGCTAATTTTTTCTCTCTTTTGAAAACCCATTACCGTTAGAAGATAAATACAACAGAAAAGTTCCCATATTATCCTCACTCCATGTGAAAGGCTTCACAATGAGAGCCAAAAAGGATATTCTAGCATCAGATAATTAAATCATAAAGGTAAATTATGCAACACATAAACTGATTATGAAGATCTCAGAAAGTACCTTCAGTTCCAAATAAAACAACTCCTACTTCATCATTTTTGCTGTAAATCAACTGCAGGGATGAAATAGAGAGGACCATTAAAACAAATTTGCAAAGCGAGCTCCATAAATTATCAATAAGGGTCTTGACTTGACACTCATAAAGCCATTCATGTTTATGTAGCCGGTAGCTTTAAAATATTTGCAGCAGAAAATTACTACTGTCAAACTCAAAGAGAAAATTCTGAGAAGAAACAGAAAGCCGCAAGGTCCCCATGCACCAACCCTACCCGCCAAGAAAAGAAAAGAAAGCATAGAAAAAAAGAATGGGGAGAGATGCAAGAAAATAGATGGCGAAAAAAATTCTAAAGTAAAATAGGTACCTTCTTCTGTACCAACATGGAGCAGACTTTTTCAATCTCTGGCAAATTATTATGCATAAATCGACCAACATCAAGCAACAAAACCAAAGCTTCCTGTTAAAAAAAAGAAAATATATATACATTTTTAGAAATTGGTATGTTGAGCTAATATCTCTCTAATGCTAGAGTAAGAGAGCTACCTTCATAAATCTATGAGCTATTTCCCTAGTAAAAATGCCACTTTTTTGGGAGATGTTCCTAATATGCCACGACCTTCCTTGATGGTACAATATCTTTTTCCTGGTAAAATTCCCTTGGTTTTCCTTATTTAGCCAGTCTTATGAGTAGTGCATCTTTTAGCTAACAATTTTTCTTAAAGGCTTATGCAAACGAAAGACTTGAATTATGACCCACAAAAACCTACTTGCACCAATTCCTGAATCTGTTTCCTCAAAGCAAAATAACAATACCAACAGACCAAAGCACACACACATGACACTACATGTATATGTTGAACATCTAACAACATACACATGGTACAAAACAAAGCCCAATGTACTACTCCAAACAAATAGGCCTGGAAGCTGGGGCAGGGGAAGAGAAACACTTGGGCTTCTCAGTAATTTCAAAACACCAATTTTGCAAGTATTCATTATTTAAAAATATACATATTTATATTACAATTTTCATATAATAATAAGATGCTCATAAGATAACAGGCACTTTCCTCTCTCATATCCCTAAACTGATTTATTAGGGATCTTTTCTCTTTTAGTTTTTGTTCCTCACCAATTTCAGAGTAAGTTCGGCACAAAAACAAACCAATTCAACCATGTAATTTCTATAGTGCATACACAAACCTAAGATAAACACTCACCAAAATATGTATATATATGTATATGATGAAACTCTGGAGCACATTCACCAGATGCCGATGGTCATAGCTTAATTGGTTATATAACTAAAGGGCATCCCCAATCCTAGATTCAAACATATTTTTGAGAAAAAAATCACTCAAAACACCCTCCATTTCTCTTGACCCAAATTTGTACCAAATTGAGTTTTACTCAAACTTCTACCTGAATCAAGGGGACTCAAATGTTTACTCAGAATTTTCAAGGCTATTTTTGTGGGTCTCAAATTTACCGCTCTCTCATTAGTGAAACTCAATACTCCAAATTTATGCTTACATCTGAGTTTGTCCATTAATAAAAAATATGAGTAAAATCTTGGGTTAAGGGCTGGAGATGACCTAACATGATGTAAAACCCTAAACCCTTAAAAAAAAAAAAAAAAAAAAAAAAAAAAAAAAAAAAAAAAAGAAGAAGCGCATTAATGATAGGTGCTACAAACTACATACATATGTACAGATATAGTTCAGGAAGCAAAGGCTAGACCAAAAAGTTGAGAAACAAGAAATGGTCATAAGAACATGTTGATTATTGAGAAAAGATTTGTGAATCGCAGAGTATTGAATGAATTGATCGGTAATATGAAACAGAAAAGTGCTTCATATAATTACCTTATTTCGAGCCATTTTGGAGCGAGACACTCAGAGAGAGAGAGAGTGTGACAGAGTGGATTCCAGGAGAAGCCTTTGAAACGTCGCTCCTGTAATGGGGTTTATATATATATAATTGTCACACACACAATTCAAATAAATAGAAATAAAATAAAACATTTATTATATATTGTTCGTTAGTTAAGTGGTAAAAATCTTATTTATTTGACATAAGTTTAAGATTCAAATCCCCTCTCTTCATCTATCTAATCTATTTTTTTTTTATTTTAAATAAAAAAACAGACACGTGACAGTATAATAAAGGTTTCAACTTTATAATAGTATAGATAAAAGGGTAAATTATAAATATATATACATATATATAGTTAGAAAAAAAAATAAATAAAAAGATAAATTATAAATACGAAATTTGTTTAAAATGCATATTAACCCGTCGTTTAAAATATTATAAATATTTTTTTGTTGTAATTGTTTATTAACAAAATTAATTAAAAAAAAATTAAATTTCTAACTGTGTTCCTATATAATAATTAAATTATCTCAATTATTAATTAAAATAAATTTCAAAAATAATTAAAAATTATTAATTAATTTAATTTTTTATCAATAAAGAGGGTCATTTATTATGAAATTACAAACTTCAAAAGGTAAAATATAATTTTTAAAATTACATAAAAAAATTTATATTTCAAATAAATTTCAAAAATATATTTTTAATTTACCCAAAATAAAAATAGAGAGCGATTTGGCTGATGTTTTTTTTCTCCTTCCCGCCTCACAGCTTAATGGACGAATATAGAAGGGATTTTTTTTTTTTTTTTTTTAAAAAAAAAAATAAAAAAAGTTTTTTATTTAAATTGAATAAAAAGTCAAAAAATTAATTAACTTTTCAAACCCAATTATTCTTAAAATTTTATATGAAAAAATTATTTCTAAACAACTTCTAATGTTAACAAGTACTTGAGTAATTATTTAATATTACAATTTTTGTAAAAGAAAATTTGAAAATAAAAAAAAATAATTTAATAAAAAGTAATTTTCCATTCTTCATTTCTTTCCATTAATTTATAATTTGTATCCAAATTTATTTTCTAGTTGTAGTTTGAATGACTTCGTACGGTCTCAAAAGCTCTTCAACATTTACGTAAATGGATATTATTAATAAATGATAAATTTCAAAAATAATTTTAATACGCAATTCAGATACAATTTTCACTCTCAATTAAAAAGGGGAAAAAAAAAAAAGCTTTGGCAAATAGATTAAGGTATTCAATACTCTTTTATCAAATATTTTTTTTGTAAATACTCACAAAATTAGACATCAAACATAATTAAATCAAGTTCACAAATGTTGCATCAATAAGCAAGTCAATTTCAAAATAATACAAAATTAATCATAATCTTGTCCGTTGTGAGTAATTTCTTCCGCATTTTGATAAAGAGCATTGCCATTAACCCCTACCTTTCTTCTTAGAACCCTCACCAGATGTCTCTATTTACACACCACATTTTATCTCAAGGCAAACCATTACTTAAGGCACACCCTTAATATTTTGATAAATAAATATTTTGTTCAATACACACCATAAACTTTCATCTTTACTCTTATTCACACACCCCACCGACAATCTACCCACAATCTTCTATCTTTACCATCACTCACTCACACACCCGACTCACCCATGATATTCCATCTCCCCCTCCATTCTTTGTTTAAACCGGTGAAGACCCATTACTGAATATACGTTTTTTCTCATCAAGAACATCATTGGTGATGCTCAACACAGTTGGAAATAACTCTACATTGGAGATGCAGTAGGTGAATTCTCATTTGGCTTAGATTTTAGGGTTTTATGTACTTATTTCCATTGCCATGAAATTTGTATTTGAATGAATTAGTGTCCGAACCGTTCGACACTAGAATGTCGAACCCTAAACATCTGTACGGTCGATTTCTGTCGAACAACATGGCGTTCGACACTTGACTTTTCGAACAAAAGCAGTTTGTCCGGTCTATTATTGTCGAACATGTTCAATCTCTTAGTGTCAAACCTTAAGTGCTAATTTAGATGTATAATGTCGAACACTAATAACATGTTCAAACAGATACTGTCGAACAGATACTGTTTTTTTTTTTTTTTTGTCTTATTGATTTCTTTGTTGTGAATATTAGCTAGAGGACCAGACAAATTCCTTTGAAGAAATGGAATACTGTGGGAACCAAAGTTACCAACTGAATTTGGAAGAATACATTACATTTGAAAAAAAAAAAAAAACATTTCAATTCCTATAAATCATTTACTGAAAATCAACAAACTCTTGACTCAATAATTTGAGCAAGGCTAGCATGGTTTGAATAACAAATAACCCATTCATATTCATAAATTAAATAATAATCGTACTTCATACTTGGTTCTTCAAATTATTTTCCATTACACTAAAAAATAAAAATTTAGTTTGTGACGCCCCAAAATTTTAAGGATATCATAATATGATTTAGAACTTAAAATCAATGTTGCCACCAATATCACTAGCATCCATTAATTAATAACCCAAAAATTGAAAGTTTTCAAATTACAATTCTAATAAAACTTAAAACTTAGTCTTAGTACAAAAAAAGAAAAAAAATACACAAATATAAAAGGAAACTAGAGAAAAATTAGGAAACTTAGAAAATGGTTCGTGAAACTTGGGACTCTTCAAACTAACCAAGGCTGAATGTCACCTTGCGAGGCCTCGGTGTTTTCTTCATTTTCTTCGGTACCTGGCATAAAATGCCAGAGCAACAAGAATGCCAATGAACGACGAGCTCAATAATATACTACAACCCGAAAATATCCACATCGATAATAATACTCATCATTAATGAATAATGCGTAGTAACAGAATAACAGGTAGCATTTAATAAGCATAACAGGAATGTCATCAGTTGAAATAATAACAATAGATAATAAAAAATAAAATAAAAAACAATGGCAAACAGAAACAGTATTTCATCATAAGGAAAAGGTCCACTTTTCTTTTTAAATTCTCATAGATTTAGTTTATTAGATAAGTTTAAGTAACTCCCCGCAGAGTACTATTTCCATTCAATTGCTAAGCAATGGCCACGGGCAATTCTGACTCCCCCTTGGTCAAATATTCAAATGTTACTTGTTGTAACTACCAATGATGCCCACACACCAGGGTTACGTACCCGAGTCGTGACATCACGGTCTACCCCAAGGGACGGTCTATGTTATGACACCTGTGTTGGAGAAAAATGGTTGAATAAGAAATTGCCTCATAAATGTGTATGTAACTCACACATTTAAGGCTCATCAATTTTACAAAATTGATTGGACAGTTTTGCTAGTATTAGTTGCCAGCCTTGATGGCTAGAGGCTCCTCCCTTCTCCCCCATGGTGTATAGAAGGAGGCTCCATTCCTTGAAAAAAGAGATAGAATTTTTTCTTGGCATCCATACCCTGTCAGTCTACTTCTCCTATAATTTTCTTCCTGAGAGAGATTGTTGTCGTTGTCAGTTCGCTAAGCTAATCAGAAGGTACTTCTGTTGTAGCTGGTAAAAACCGTCGTATCCTGGGAAGTAGACACCGGCGTACCTCCAGCACCCAACGGTAAGGCGGCGAATCTATTTTAAGGAGACGGTGGTATCACACAGGCTTCGGTACACTTCCTTTAACCATTTTATATTTTATCTGTATTTTATTCAGCATGTTATATTTTCTGGGATTGGAGGTCTGTTTTGTTCATCTCATAATTTTGCGATATGCAATGTGAAATTATGTAATATGAGTAGTTTTTCCCAACAAGCTTAAAATAGATTCGACGTTTATCATAGAATTAGATTAATAGATTCATAGGTGTGTGTAATAATTTTGCATGTAATAGGCCACTGTTATCAATAGGGAAGAAGAGTTCCATTGGTGCAACGTTAATTCACTGTATTTTCTAATTAATTTATTAATTTATGGTGTACCGGTTCATGCCTTGTATTTCTAGATTTACATGCTTCTAGTTCACATGCTTCTAGTTTACAATATAAATTACATGTTCATTCGGGTTTAATTTTTAGTGTAATTTACATTTCTAGCATGTTTATTAGGTAGTAAATTTTCATGTAACTTGTACCTATTAATCTTTAATTTAGGTGTGGAGTTGTAAAGTTTATAACTTGCCTATATTTAAATTCATGTTAATTTTTCTAGAATTATTTGCATGTTAATCATGTCATTTGCAATTCTTGCTTAGTAATGTGATTTAAGTGTTTAGGAGTTATAAATGTTTATAACTTGCCTCAATTAATTACATGTTTAGTGTACCATAAGTTCATATGTAACCTTTACCAATTTAAAATATGGTTTAATTTTATTTAATTTTGGGTTTGTAACTTGTATAGTTAATTACACGTTTATTATGTAATTAATTTTTTATAGTTTTTTATTTAAATTCTAGATGTGTAACTTAAGGGTTGATTTTAATCTTTACTTACAGTTATTTATTATTTTGTTTGCTAGTACCCTCCCCTTCAATCACAACTTTGCCAAAAGTAAAGAAAAGCTGAGGGAGATTTTGTTGTATTTTGCTGCTAACTCTTTATTGCAGGAATACCTATGGGAATGAGAAAAAGGATTAATTTGTACTAAATATGTAAAGCAAGTTTTATTTGCTTGTAATTATTGTAGTAATTTTGTTGTAATTGCTTATAAAGTGATGCAATTGTAATTGCTTGTACCGTTTGGAACTTGGTGTGTTTAATCTAGTTCATCCCTTGAAAAATTTAATTCTTAAAGTTGTTTCCCATGGACTAGGAGTCAACATGCTCTTGAAAGTTTTGTCTAAGGTTACCTGGCTTATTGGGAAAAACTACTCACATTACATAATTTCACATTGCATATCGCAAAATTATGAGAGATTCTAGGTTGCGTGGTGAGACTAGTTTTGAATTAAATTTCCAATTGTGGGATTTTCTAGTGTTAAGTTTGATTTCTGGAAATACAGAATAGTGAAAATTCTGCTGTAATTTTTCCGAAATGGCAACTGTCTCTAATGCTGCTACTGCTGCTAATGTTCGTGGGGATCCGAACCCCTGGGCGACTGGCTTGCCAACCCCTGCTGTGAC